AGATGCTCTTTAGCTGTACCTTCTTTCTGAGTTTCCCCCTTGGTCCGATAACTTTATCAAATATGTGTTTTCCAACATGTGAGTCCACAGCACTAAGTGGATCATCCAACAAGTAAACATCAGCATCAAAATACACAGAACGTGCAAGACTGATACGTTGTTTTTGTCCTCCACTCAGATTTATACCCTAAAAACAAACAGAGGGTAAATTTCCAAAAGTAATCACATCCACAGTTTTCAGTCTCAAAAGCATTTGCCCACTCAACGAATGTAAAAAACAAGAAATGACAAGTCCATCCGTCCAACCCTGCGCCACTGCCTTTGTTGCAGTTTCTGTAACTTGAACAAGCAATTAAAGACCAAGGGGCAGAATTACAACCAGAAATATTGGAGTCGCAAAGCTAATGGCAACAATGGTTCCCAGAACACCACAGAACGTTCGCAAGAACATAATCAGAGTCATGGGAACCTTGTCATCGATTGTGCTGATATCCTTGGAGAAGCGGTTCACGATCCTCCCCAGGGGAGTGGTCTCAAAAAACGACATGGGGGAGTGTAAGACATTCTCAAGAAGAGTCTGATGCAGATAGCGTGACGCAATTTTCGATCCAACAGCCAAGGCTAGGGATGAAACGAGTGTGCTAGTAGCTTGCAAAAAGCCAAGACCGCCATAAACTCCTAGGTACATGTCACGCTCTTTGTCTGAAGTGACGTTGGTTGAACTCCAGCGGGCCAGCCAAATTCCAGAAGAAACTGAGGCAGCTTCTGCAAGGAATACGAAGAACAGTATGCTGACTGCCAAGTAGACTTTGACTGATTTTGCGTAGGTCCAGAACACTGCAAATTTGACCTGCAATTATAGAAAAAAAAACATTTTAACCAATTATCCAAAAACCTTATAAAACAGCTTTCTCGCGGTGTAATAAAAGTAATTTAAAAAGAGAGAAACTACCCCCAAAGTTCGGCCATTCTTTCTCTACGTACGTTTGTATGTTAGCTTTTATTTCTTTGTTACTTTTTTCTGATTCGTTTTGTTTTGTTTCAGTCATGTTTAACGTCACCTTCGTGGTCCTCGAGAAACGCGATCGTTTGGAAATCAGACATTGTTTAAATGGTGCATCGTGCATTTTCGTCGTAGATCACGGTCAATAAAAGCAAAGTAGCGAATAATAAATTGAAAAATACCCGTCCAGTTTCGGATTTTTCTTCTTCGATAATCTTGTCTTCTCTCTCTTCATCGGGTCTAGTGAACGTACAATCCAAATCGGCCGTGTCAACGGTTACCACAGACAAGCTATCTGCTCGGTTCCTTCGGAAAACTGGGGCTTCCATCTGACTGTCCATTCGCTCCAAGCGACTATCCTGCCTCTCCAAATGACTGCCTGAGCGTTGAAACCTGACATCTATTCCATCTGTGTCTTCTGCAACTTCTTTTATCGTAGGTTCTATCCTGTGTTGTGTCTCTGCCATTGAAAAAAGGTTACAAAGAACCCGTAAGGCAACGACATGATCAATTTTCAAGCAGTTCCTTTTGGATGGTTTCTTTACGATGCTACTCGTCACATCAGGATTTAAATTAAGATTTAAACTCTTAACCTCATGAAGCTGCTTTCCGTCCTATTTGACGGTCGTTACCTCGTGCTCTTGAAATATCGTTCGAACAATAAATACCCTTAAGATATTTTGAATATATCAACAAAGTTGAAATGGTAAATTGGCCACCGTTACGATTATAAAAGCTGACGTTTCGAGTGCTAGCCCTTCGTCGGAGCGAAGTTGAATATTTCAACTTTGTTGATAATTCAAATTATTTCGTTACCCCCACCGACGCAGCCCCAAACAGTTTCTTTAGAAACTATCAGCCTTTATTCCCTTAAGATATTGACCGCTACCTACCATCCTCCTCCACATTCTGTTCAGCAGCAAATGTGTTCAGAAACTCAGAAAAGGCTCCCTCGTTCGCAAGAAGTTCTGAATACGTTCCAACCTGACCAAAAGGAAAATCTATCTTAATTGGTAGAGAGCATATGATCTGCGCAATTGTTTTACACTGGGCTTGTAATGCTCTACATGGGACACTTTTAATTTTGACTGCGGAGTCACCGTGCCACCTGGTGTCAGTCCTTCCGTCCGTAAGATACGCAGTAAACCGAGAATATTTGGCTGCGAAGTCACCGTACCCCCGTGCGTACCCCTGTGCGTACCCCCGTGCGTCGGTCTAATTTCAAGTGTATAAAGGGAGTTAGTTTCTAGAGAAACTGTGGTACCGTGTCGTTGGCTGTAACAAGGTAATTTGGTTTTATCAACCAGGTTGATAATGTAAATTGGCCACCGTAAAGAGTTTGAAAGCTGACGTTTCGAGCGTTAGCCCTTCGTCAGAGCGAATGGAGGAATTGTGGGTTGTGTGTGTGTTTATATGNGACACTCACTTTTCAACTTACTAGCCAACTGGCTGGTGAAATCTTAGATGGTACAACAATTTCAGTTTGTTTACTGGCGAAACTGGCTAGTGGAAATCGAAAACCACTTGCCAAAACCGAATTTCTACTAGTCTGTGGCTAGTGGGCTACTGTAAGTTTCGAGCTCTGCGAAAACGGTGTTAGTTAAAGATTTTTTGTTAATGCTCGTACTTCAGACCTTCGTGCTATTGCTGCAAAGCAAAACTGACAACTAGTCACTGACTGGTGTCGATTTTCACCGACTGTATGTCTTTGCTTTGTTTCAGTACTTACTTTGATAAGAAAGGAGTTTCATCTTTATCCCAACCAAAACTGCCTTCTTCAACATGAATTGCTTGAGAACTAACTATAAATAAAGACAACAAAAATAGTTTTACTTTCCGAATTTCCTTTAAGCCCTATAGGGCTAGGCTGGGAGAGAAGGTTGACTTTTGAAAAACAAACAAAACAAACAAAAAGACACAAACAGAAATAAAAAAAACAGTTGAGTTTACTTTTTAAAGGCACCGAGAATCTAGACGTTGAGATAGAGGGAACCGGTGTCAGTATCTGAAAAACTGCACACCCACCCCTCCCCCAACCTAACATCAACTGTAATTTGCTATCACTTGACTTTAGGTTAGGAGAGGGGTGGGCGCACAATTGCTCAGAAACTGAAGTTGAACCGATGGAGGCACTGTTTTAGCGAGCCGTGATACAAACGTTCTTATTTTACGCATTTTCACAAAGTAATTTGTGATTTGATTTGTTCCCAGGTTAAGAATACACTCAAAATCAAATAAAATAGAGACGCGAAAAGTCTCACTTTTAATAAACTAGTAATTCTCCTTACTGACTGCCGTACAATTCTTATGATGTTACTCTGAGGAATTTGCTATTGGATCAACTAATTACCCCCTAATTGATAGTTTTCTTTACTCTCATCACTTGTCTGCTTTATATCGTATTGACAATGCAAGGAGAAATTCTGTCTTGGTCACTAACGCGAGTTTAAATGGTTAAAGTGGACTTACTATGCTCAGGCATTGTCTTTTCTACATTGGTTGAATCCAGCTCTTCAAGATTGAGAAA